ATGTTTTAAACATTTGTGTAGAAGTTTTAGTAGACTTATGCTTCTATTATTCTTGAGTAAATGCCTAAGAGAAAAATGGCTAAAACATACAGCAATACACGTTTAAGTATTTAAAAAGCCTCCAAATGATTTTCCAAAGTAGCTGTATCATTATCATTTTACTTTTTCCTACTAGCAGTGTTTAAGAGTTCTGGTTGTTAACTGGGTGTGGTGGTTTGCACATGTGGTCCCAGGTACTTGGGAAGCTGAGGCAGGAGAATTACTTAAGCCTGGGATGTCAAGGTTGCAGTGAGATGTGATGGAGCCACTGCGCACTCCAGCCCAGGCGACAGCAAGACCCTGTCTCAAAAAAAAAGAAAAAAAGAGTTGCGGTTGCTTTATATTCTCACAAGTACTTGGTACAAATAATATTTTTAATTTTAGCTATTCTAATAGCATTATAGTGATGTCACACTGGTTTTAATTTGCATATTTGCATTTAATGATGTTGAACCATCTTTTCATGATCTTATCTGCTATCTATATATCTTTGGTGAAGCATCTATTCAAATCTCTGTCTGTTTTTAAAAATTGAGTTGTTTTCTTATTGAATGTTGAGAGTCTTTATATATTCTGAATTTAATACCTTTATGAGATCTGTGAGTTGCAAATATTTTCAATTCTGTAGCTTATCTTTTTTTTTTTTCTTTTAAAGTATCTTTCCAGGAGCAGAAGTTCTTAATTCTGATGGATCCAGTTTATCAAAACTTTTTTCTTTTACATACTGTGTTTTCGGTTTGGTATCTAAGATACATCTATTCTGTTTTCTTCTAGAAATGTTACTTTTAGGCTTTACATTTAGTTTTATAATCCATTGTGAGGTAATTTTTGCTTATGGTGCTAGGTGTGGATCGAAGTTCATGTTTTTCGTATGGACATATATTTGTTTCAGCACCATTTATTTTTAAAATGTAGTCTTTCTCCACTTGCCTTTGCATCTTTGTCAAAAATCAGTCGTGGCTGGGTGGAGTGGCTCACACCTGTAATCCCAGCACTCTGGGAGACCGAGGCAGGCAGATCACCTGAAGTCACGAGTTCGAGACCAGCCTGACCAATATGATGAAACCCTGTCTCTTCTAAAAGTACAAAAATTAGCCATGTGTGGTGGTGGGTGCCTGTAGTCCCAGCTACTCGGGAGGCTGAGACAGGGGACTTGCTTGAACCTGGGAAGCAGAGGTTGCCGTGAGCTGAGATAGTGCCACTACACTCCAGCCTGGGTGACAGAGCACGACTCCATCTCAAAAAAAAAAAAAAAAAAAAATCAGTTGTTCACATATGTGTGGGACTCCTTCTGCTCTCCTTTTCCATGGCTATATTTATTATTATTAGTTTTTGCCAGTCTCATGCTAGCAAAAAAAATTATTGGTGCTTTTTTGTAAGTCTTGAAATCTAGGAGTATTAGTCTTCCAACTTTACTCTCCTTCAAATTTGTTTTGACTATCTAGGTTATTTCTATTTCCATATGGTTTTTAAAACCGGCTTGCCAATTTCTAGAAAAAGTCTATAGGGATTTTTGAATGGGATTGCATTGAATCTTAGATTAACTTGAGGAGAATTGACTTCTTAATGATATTAAGTTGTCTATTCTATGATATACAAAGTATGTCTTTCCATTTCTTTAGATCTCTGATTTTTTTTCAGCAGTGTTTTGTAGTATTCAGTGTATGGGTCTTTTACATCTTTTGTTAGATATGTCTGTAAGTACTACATGTTTTTAATGCTATTTTAAATGGTATTTTAAAAATTTATTTTTCTGATCATTCCTAGCATATAGAAGTACAGTTGATTTTTGCATATAGATTTTGCATCTTGCAACTTTGCTGAATTCATTTATTCTGGTGGCTTTTTTATTGTTTCCATAGTGTTTTTATGTAACAATAATGTCTTTGCATAAAGAGTTTTACTTCTTTGTAATCTGGAGCGCCTTTTATTTCTTTTTCTTGCTTGGTTGCACTAGCTAGGACCTCCAGTACAATGTGGAATAGAAGTGATGAAAGTGGCCATCCTTATTTTGTTCCTAGTATTAGGGGAAAAACATGCAGTCTTACATTATAATTTTTTTATTTTAATTTTTTAAATTGCATTTTAGGTTTTGGGGTACATGTGAAGAACATGTAAGATTGTTGCATAGGTACACACATGGCATTGTGGTTTGCTGCCTTCCTCCCCATCACCTATATCTAGCATTTCTCCCCATTGTTATCCCTCCCCAACTCCCCACCCACCACTGTCCCTCCCGTTTCCCCCCTTACAGACCCCAGTGTATGATGCTCACCTCCCTGTGTCCATGTATTCTCATTGTTCAACACCCACCTATGAGTGAGAACATGCGGTGTTTTTCTGTTCTTGTGTCAGTTTGCTGAGAGCAGTCTTACATTATTAATGTAAGATTAGTTGTATGAGTTTTATATTTGCCCTTTAATTACATTGGGGATGTTTGCTTCTTTTCCTGCTTAATGTTTTTATGGGGAAAGAATGTTGGATTTTTATGTAATTATTTTTTGTATCTGTTGACAGTCATAATTTTCCCCCCCTTTTTTTTTTTTAGCATCATTGTGCAATTTTTGATATGTTGTGTTTTCATTTTCATTCAGTTCAGAATATGGGCTGATTTCTCTTTAATCCATAGGTTAGTGAGCAGTACATCAGTTTTCAATTTGTGGATATTTGTTCAGATATCTTCCTTTTATTGCTTTCTAATTTAATTCCCTTTTGGTAAAAGAGCACCTCATTTCTTTCTCATTTCTAGTCTCACTGTCTTTACGTTTTGTCAGATGTTTTGGGAACTGTTGTTTCATGTATCTTGTCTGTTTTTTGTTTCAGCTGGGAGGGTAAATCTGCCCATGGCTACTTAACCTTGGTCAGAAGTAGAAGTCTCCTCTAATACACTTTTTTTTTTTAATTTGGAAACATTTCAAACATGTACCAAAAGGCTGAGAATAATTTATATCTCTTTTCCCTGAGTAAATGTTAGTTCTGCAAAATTTACATTGCATTTTTAAAAAATAAATGTTTTATAGATGTAAGCCCTACTTCTTTGACATTCTTTATCTTACTGCTACTACCTTTCCTCATTTTGCAGAGGAAAATGTGGTAGAGAAGTCTTACATTCAGTATATGCCTTAACAAGTTTTTTTTTTTTTAATTCTTTTCCATATTTATTCAAGGAGATACACATTTAATAGATTGGTTTTAATGACAGTTTAGTGTCTCATTGCATAGCATATATTATAAATCTGTTCTTTTTTGTATAGATGGTTATGTAAATTGGTTACGATTTTTCTCCTTTCACAAACAATATTACGACCAACATTCTTTTGCATTTTATATACATGTTTATAGTTTATATGCATCTAGAAATGAAATTACTTGTTCTGAGCAAATGAGTATCTTCAAGTTAGCCATATATTGATTGTCAAGTTGCCTTCCACATCGTAGTTGCTTTTCCTTACAGGTTGTATTTTAATATTTAATATTTTAATATTTCTCCAATTATTTTGTAAGAAAAGATACCTCATTATTTTAATTGTATCTTCCTAATTATAACAGAGGATTGGTATATTTTCATTTGCTTATTATCCATTCTGGATCCCTTTTCTCTGAATTACCTGGTCATATTTTTCTAACCAGAATATTGAGAGAAAGCACCTTTAATGACATGTTACATTTATCTCAGCACACTCAGATAATGCTGAAAGCAATCCATATGTAACTTATATTCAAATTAATACGGTTCTTGGGTCTGTAATTGTTCTAGTATTTTTCTTTTGATGCATTTTTATTTGTTTTGTGTATTTGAAGGAAACCCAGCTTATTGGGCAGTATTAGTAGTATATGGGAACAACACTGATTGCTGTTTGGTTTTATTCAGTAGCATGACTAACACTGATGCAGATTGTTAGCCTAGAGAAAAAATGTTGAAATTATTCATTATTAAGGCTTTCCTTAATAAATAAATACCTAGTGACATTCTGCAGATCTGCAATGGTGGCCTACCTGTTAAACTCTAATATGGTTTAGTGGTTGAACCTGTTAAACCTGTAGTTCTTGTTTCGTGTGAATAGAAATAAGGAAACTAGTTGTGGGTATTAACTGCTTCTCTATAGGTTTTTGTTGTCCAACTCTCACTCATAATGGAATATGTCATTTTATAAACTTTATTCCATTTAGTAGTAAAGTGTAAGATATTTCAAAATCTTGTGACTATTTGTTCTTCTTTGGGGTACTGCTTATATCCATGGGAAACTTTATTTTGGAATATATGACTTGATACAATAAGTCATACTTCAACATTACTAATCCTAAATTGTGATTAAAATGTAGTTTTGTTTTATTATATACAATCATAATGTAGAGTCTCGTTGATGAGAAAAGAAGTGTATTTTGCATATAAATTAATCTTGGGCCTTTAAATATATAAAACTCTTTAACATTGTTTTTGGAGGTCACATTTATGCAATAATATGTCACATTGTGTTGCCTGATTCACAGAATATAGGTAGATAATTTGACATTTTCTTTAGGCATGTAGCACTCTTTATTTTTGTATCACATGACCTTTGTGGTTAGTATACTTTTTTTTCTTTTCTCACAGTTGTATTTCAACTTTGAGCAGCTGTTTTTCTGTTCATTCAGCAAATATTCACTGAGCTCCTGCTGTATTCAAAGCATTATTCTGGGACTTGGTTATATAATAATAATTTTTTTTTTTTTTTTTTGAGAACTGTCTTGCTCTGTCACTCAGGATGGAGTGCAGTGGCATGATCTCAGCTTACTACAACCTCTGCCTTCTAGGTTCAAATGATTCTCCTGCCTTAGTCTCCCTAGTAGCAGGGATTACAGGCGTATGCCATCACACCCGGCTAATTTTTGTATTTTTAGTAGAGACGGGGTTTTACCATGTTGGCCAGGCTATTCTTGAACTCCTGATCTCTAGCAGTCCACCCACCTCGGAATTACAGTGAGCCACTGTGCCTGGCCCATCAGAATATTTCATAGTAATCAAATACACTTTCTTCTCTCATGGACCTTGAAATATGGCAGGGAAACATAGACATTAAATAATTAAGCAAAGATATTGAGAATCCTGGGACCTGTGGATCACATGTCAAGAACTGCCCAGGATAATGAAGGGAAAGAAGCATACAGTCCCAAATCACCATTAAAGCAAAAGTTGTTTACAGGATTCAAAATTGATATAATATAAACTTAAGGTTAAAATTAGAACCAATATTAGGAACATACAGGTTATTCTAAAAATGTCACTGAGTAAAAATATACAGGGTTAAGAAAGTTAGTTGTACTTGGCTAGATGTAAACATACCACTTGAACAAAAGAATGGCCTACACGTTATTATTTATTAAAATTGCGTATTACTGCCTCTTTTTACAATAAACTTTAAAAAATTATTCTGGGACTTCAGTTGAACAGTGCCACTTATCAGTTACACATTTTCTTTCTCTACACACACAGCCTTGACTTTGAAAATGTATCAGAGGCCTTGCAAAGGAAATGAAAGTGGGTATGTGGTATTTGGCATCTGATTGAATGTGGAGGGCAAGGGAAAGGATGGGTAAAAAATCCTTAGGATTGAAGGTAGGTGACTGGGGATTTTGGCATCATCAGAAGAAATAGGGAGATAGATGAATGGTTTGTTTTGAGGCAGGCTGAGTTTGAAATCAATAGACCATCTTAAGTGGTGATGTGTAGCAGGCAGTTAGAAATGTAAAACTGGTTCTGGGATTCACAGTAGAGATGCATTTTGGGAAGTCATTGGGTAATATTTGCATCATGGTATTAGATAAACTAGACAGAATGTAGTAAGTGCCATATTAGTATAGAACATAGGAATGATAAGTTTAAAGGAGAAATTAATTGAAGGAATCTTCCTGGAAGTGGGTTATGATTAAGATCTGTTAGAAAGGAGAAAAATTTTCCAGGCCTATTTTTTCTCCAATTTTATACTGAATATATTGAGGAGAAATTTTGCATAAGAGCTACTTTTATTACTTCTTTACATTCTATGGTATTTTCCCCCCAGCACCTCCTACAGAACATTCTATGGTATTTTTACTTTTAAAAGCTATCATAATAATTATTTGAAATTAGTGTGGCTGAACTTACCACTATTTTAGAAAAGACACAATTGAAACAATTTAAGGTTTGCAGTGCATCTTGTAACCAGTTTTCTAAAGCTCAACATCACTGATCATTACAGAAATACAAATTAAAACCACAACGAGATACCATCTGACACTAGTCAGAATGGCTGTTATTAAAAAGTCAGAAAAATCACAGATGCTGTTGAGGTTGTGGAGGTTGGTGGGAGTGTAAATTAGTTCAACCATTGTGGAAGACAGTGTGGCGATTCTTCAAAGACCTAAAGACAGAAATACCATTCAACCAGCAATCCCATTATTTTGTATGTAACCAAAAGAATATAAGTCATTCTGTTATAAAGACCTACGTAACAAACCTACGCTTGTACCCTTGAATTTAAAGTGAAAAAAAAAAAAAAAAAAAAAAAAAAAAAACTTAAGGTTTTCTTATTTGTCATTCTACTCCCCGCCATTAATATTCCACCTTTTCTTAATCAGCCTGGACAATTTTGGTTGTGAAACATGTTTCTGTGTTGGAATTGGGAGAACCTCAGATTTGGTACATGCTGTCAATTGGAGTAGATATGATTTTTAATCATTTTTTGTTGAGATGTCTATTGATTAAATGTGAGATAAGTTTGGGCTGAAAAAATTGTCTTCATATTAATGAGGTGTTTAAATTGTAGACATTAAATCATAGATGTATATCATTTTGGATATATAATGCATTTTAACAATGTATGTGTATATGGGATGTTTGTAGAGTGCTTATAAAGACAGTTTACAATTGTAGTTAGAAATGTGATCATTTATATTGCTCAATAAGTACAGAGGTGAAATCTCTGCAAGTTTCAAAGCTATAGGGATAAAATGACGCTTGGAGAATGGCAGTGAAAATTTCAGGAGGAAGGATTTTCTTTTCTTTCTCTTTTTTTTTTTTTGAGATGGAGTCTTGCTCTGTTGCCCAGGCTGGAGTGCAGTAGTATGATCTCGGCTCACTGCAGCCTCTGCCTCCCAGGTTCAAGCGATTCTCCTGCCTCATCCTCCCAAGTAGCTGGGATTACAGGTGCCTGCCATGCCCAGCTGATTTCATATATATATATATATATTTTTTTTTTTTTTTTTTTTTAAGCTAGAGATGGGATTTCACTGTGTTGGCCAGACGGCCAGACAAGCCTTGAACTCCTGACCTCGTGATCCACCCACTTCGGTCTCCCAAAGTGCTGGGCTTACAAGTATGAGCCACTGTGCCCAGCCGTAATTTTCTTTTATTTTCCTCTACAGTTCTAATATAAACATAAATTATTTGATTCATGAATTATACTTAGTATGTGTATGTGTGTATATATGTATATCTATATGTTGAACTGTTAAGGGAAATAGAAACATTATTTTTAATGTGGGAAAATTATTTTCAGCCTACTTTGTTCCCTCTAAGCCTTCATAATCTAGTGCTATGGTGAATAAACTTTAGTGATACATTGTTGGTTTAGAAAATTGTTTTACATATGATATTTTAGGATATATTATGGGCTTAAAAGTCTCAACTGTTTTCTAATATAAATACGTTTTAAAGCAAGTTATATTAAATATGTTTCTGTAAACTTAGGTCTAAGCCACCAACTTACAGAAAGAATGGCTTGCTCTTTATATCACCACTGACTAGGATGTTACACATAATAAATAATTAATTTTTGCTAAACGAGTTAATTTAAAACTAGGATATAGTTTGTTAATTTAAAACTAGGATATAGTTTGTTTTCTACAAAACAAACTATAGGAAAGTATAGGGTAGATGTTTTATCGGAGCACCTATATGCCAAAAACTGAATTATAGTTTATATCTGATCAGACTGTTTTAGGCCACTCCTACCCCTTGCCAGATTTACTTTTATTCTGCCTCATGGAATACAACTTCTGTAGGAGGAATGTGCTTTCAATCATGATTTTGCATACTACTAAAATTTCTTCAAGATAATGAATCATACCATATTCTGAATTATTAAGAATGTAATGATGCATGCGATTCTTTCAGAAGGATAATAATCAGGGTGTGTTATAAATTATTAAAAACATTAATATACCATAAAGTATAAAGTCTTTTAAATTAAGGTTGTAAATGAGAATCCATTTAAGACACTTAACTTGCGAAGATTCCACTTGACTATTACTTAAATGATACATTTGTGCTATCTTAATTGTTTCGTTCTGATGTATTAAGATTGGTGGAGACCAACTTTACAATATAAGAAAAATGAGATAAAAGAAGCTTATGTATTACGTTGAGTATAAATTTAAATATATACTTAGAATTTCTTGTATATTGAAATATACCAAATAACATGCATTTGAACTGAAAATTTCTGAACATGTTTTCAAGGAAATGTGCTCTCAGAATAGAAGAATTTTAAGAGGTTGAGAGGCCTTTGCCTTCATCTGTAGCATCTACATTCCAGACAGAGGACTATCCTATATTTAATAACCTTCAGGGAATTCTGCAGCCTTCTACAACTACTTCCCCAGTAATGAAATTCAGTATCTGCTATTGGATAACTTTCTCCCTTTAGTTTTTGTGTCATTTCTTCCTTGTTTATTATAAAAAATTATAGACATACTGAAGGTACACAGAGAGTACTAAAACAAAATACTGTTGTGTTGACCAGCCATCAAATAGATAAATAAATAAACATTACCAGTATAGTTGAATGAAACCTTCTGGATAACTCTCTTTCTTACCCTTCCCATTCCTAAACCCCCAGCTACTATGCTAAATGTGCTCTTTATCATTTCCACATCAGAAATTATTTCTTTATGAAATCTCTAGCTTAGAAACCCTCATGGTAATTTAAAAATATTTTTCTCTTGTGTCATTAACATATACAAAGACCAATATGAGGGAAATGGAAAGGTTGCACTTGTTTTCCTACATCACATTTGTGTCAAATTGCCAGTATAATATTTTATTGCTCACTAATTTTTAACTTGTTTCAACGAAGTCACTTGGATCTTTTATTGTTTCTGTTTGTAAATATATGTTATTTATCTTGTACTTAGCTAATTAGTTTCATTTCCTCAGGGAGGTGGTTTTATATTGTCCACATAGTTTCATTGTTTCTTTCTCTAACTTCCAGCTCTGAGTAACTTAACAACCTGCTTTTATGTCTTCAACCTAAAATAAAACATTTAATGAGAAGCCCAAATCTGATTTCCCCCCCCTTCTGTGTCTTCCTATCTGTCCATCCATTCATCCATCTATTTATAATATTAGTTTGAGTGTTGTTTTATTATATATTTAAAAACAACAAAGACATCTCTGGGCTTTTATTTTATAATTTTTTCTTCTTCCTGCTTATTTCTTTCTTTAAGCCAAATATTTCTTATCATGATGTGTGAAATAGATATGCTACTGTGTCTTCTATTTTGTCTCTGCTTATTTAAAAAATAATCAACATTCTAGCACATTGGGGGTTTTTGTGATAGGCATACTCTAAGCATATACCTAAAAAATTAGTCTTAGTTTCATCTTTTCAACTTTTTTTTTTTGGAGATAGAGGCTCGCTGTGTCACCTATGCTGGAGTGCAGTGGCGCCATACCGGCTCGCTGCAACCTCCGCCTCCCATGTTCAAGCAATTCTACCTCAGCCTCCCGAGTAGCTGGGATTATGGGTGTCCACCATGCCTGGCTAATTTTTGTATTTTTAGTAGAGACAGTTTTACCACGTTGGCCAGGCTGGTCTCGAACTCCTGACCTCAGGTTATCCACTGGCAGTGGCCTCCCAAAGTGCCGGGATTACAGGCCACTTTTTGTTGAGGCGCCCAGCCTCAACATTCTTATATCCTGCTATCCATTGGCCACTTTTTGGTTATATTTAGTAATAATAATGTTATCTCTTTTGATGATTGAATAAGTAATAAGTACCAGATACTGTGACTAAGATACATATAAATTATTTAATCATTATAATAATTCTTTGAGGTAAGAAGAATCTGAGATTCTTGACTATGTAGTGTGCCAGAATACACACAGGTAGTAAGTGATAGAGCTGGGATTTGAGCTAGGAGTCAAAACGTTTTGTTTGTTTATTTTTAAGATAAGGTCTCATTCTGTTGCCCAAGGTGGAGTGCAGTGGCACAGTCATGGCTTACTGTCACCTCAACCTCCTGGGGTTCAGGTGATCCTCTCACCTCAGCCTCCCAAGTAGCTGGGAATACAGGTGCACACTAATTTTTGCAATTTTTGTAGAGATGAGATTTCACCATCTTGCCCAGGCTGGTCTCGAACTGCTGGGCTCAAGTAATCCTTCTGCCTCCACCTCCCAAAGTGTTAGGATTTCAGGCATGAGCCACTGCTCCTGGCCAAAACTTGTTCTTAATTGTTCTGATATACTCGTAGGCTTCATGATTTCTTAAAAGTTGTTTAGATTTCTGTTTCACTGAGCCTCCACCTCTGTTGGAGTTACTTCCCAACCTGTCTGTTTCCATGTCTGTCTGTCTCTATCTTGTTGTTGTCTTCAGAACCAGAATTTCCCCATATTTCCAAAATGCCCGTTGGAGGTTATACAGCCCCATTGAGAAGTTCTGGCTAGGGGTAAGGACTTTTAATTCACATGTAGAGATGGAAGAAAAATACAGTGTATAAGTAGCCCTTTTAAAAAAATGTTTTGGGCCGGGCGCGGTGGCTCAAGCCTGTAATCCCAGCACTTTGGGAGGCCGAGACGGGTGGATCACGAGGTCAAGAGATCGAGACCATCCTGGTCAACATGGTGAAACCCCGTCTCTACTAAAAATACAAAAATTAGCTGGGCATGGTGGCGCGTGCCTGTAATCCCAGCTACTCAGGAGGCTGAGGCAGGAGAATTGCCTGAACCCAGGAGGCGGAGGTTGCGGTGAGCCGAGATCGCGCCATTGCACTCTAGCCTGGGTAACAAGAGCGAAACTCCGTCTCAAAAAAAAAAAAAAAAAAATGTTTTGTTACCCATTATTCTTTTTATATTATTATTTCAATAGATTTTGGGGGCAACAAGTGGTGTTTGGTTATATGGATATTTCACGGTGATTTCTGAGATTTGGGTGTACCCATCACCTGAGCAGTGTACACTATACCCAATGTATAGTCTTTCATCCCTCACCCCACTCCCACCCTTCCCTCCGAAGTCCCTGAAGTCCATTGTATCATTCTTACGCTGTCCTCATAGCTTAGCTCCCACTTATGAGTGAGA